TAAGATTTCACTGGGAATGCTGCCTTCCAACTCTCTTCCACTCTCACTAACTATAGCCCTTACAACCACGTAATTAATTGGCCTAATCTCTTACTTCGCTGTTACACGAACGTTTAACAATATCTCTCTCGCTTTTCTTCGCCGAACAGAAACACCGCGATCTGAGTGAAAGTCTTATTTCGGCCAAAAAGTGGGACTGTTTATAAGAATGGGGTCGACGTAACAAAAGGACAACTAAGGAAATTTTGTATCTTACGAGTCTCATCATTTCTACATGACAGTCCTTGGCCTAGATCCCAATATGTTCTTGAATCTCGATTCAATATTCAAATTTGTGATATCAGGAGTACGAGGCGGAGCTTGAGGAAATAGTCGAATTCTGCCCTCTTCAGTGCAGTGAGGCTAGTCAAGCTTCAATAATTGAACAGGTAAGAGCAGTTACCACTTTTTGTTCAAATACATTTTTGGGATACGCCGTCTAGATTCCGCACAGCGATGGTTGTGTAGTGGGAAGTACCGTGAGTGTGATCCAGCGACGGAACGACTGGTTCCTTTGGAGAGGTGAAGATTGCCAGCCAGAGCCGACTGTCTTCAAAATTGGATGCACTTTTCCGAAAAAGTAAAATGAGAATCCTGACCTCTGAAAGCATTTCCGACTTTATGCCCCGTTTTAGATTCCCGAAAAAGGAAGAAAAACTACCAATGGCGAAATTGCCGAAATCTCGGGAACGTAAAATCGAGCAGGAGGGTGAACTGAAACTAGTACCCGCAACGGATATGAGGGTAGAAAACTCCGTCGAAGCAGAGAAAACCGAAACGATAACGGTAGCAAAACCACAAGATGTGAAAAATGATGATGATAATTTACCGAACGAGGTGGATTTATTGCTGAAAGCTATGTTTCCCGGATACAGAAACTGAGCGTGTATATAGTGTAATGAACATGTAATAATTTTTTCTGTACAATAAAAGGTTCTTCTTTATTAGGGAAAGGATGCAGTAGATTGTTGTCTGCTGAAAAGATAGTCTGGTTTTGCGTCATAAATTTTTACTGAGGGCATATATTATTAGGTGT